AGTGATCCACTGTAACACAGTGTATAAAATATACAAAATACAAGTACAAAAGATCAAGTGATCCACTGTAACACAGTGTATAAAATATACAAAATACAAGTACAAAAGATCAAGTGATCCACTGTAACACAGTGTATAAAATATACAAAATACAAGTACAAAAGATCAAGTGATCCACTGTAACACAGCATAAAATATAATAATACTCCGTGATCCACTGTAACACAGTATTAAATATACAAAATACAAGTACAAAAGATCAAGTGATCCACTGTCACACAACATAAAATATAATAACACTCCGTGATACACTGTAACACATCATTAAATATACAAAATACAAGTACAAAAGATCAAGTGATCCATTACAACACAGCATTAAATATACAAAATACAAGTACAAAAGATTAAGTGATCCACTGTAACACAGTATAAAATATAATAATACTCCGTGATCCACTATAACACAGTATTAAATATACAAAATACATGTACAAAACATCAAGTGATCCACTGTAACACAGTAAAATATAATAATATCTATGTTGGAATAATTCCTTTTTATTTTAAATGCATAATCTTTGTAAAATGTTCTTCTTCTCGGGAGATATAGCGCATGTGCGAGCACCGTTTCAAGCGTGTAATACGGACTAAATAAAACTGCGTAATATAGATTGCTGAGGGTGATGGGGGTGGGAGACTGATGACAGGCGAAAGGGAAGATAGCAGAGTGGGCGCTGGCAGAAGAAGCAGACAGAGCGAGGGACATGGGTGGCAACGGGGAGGACGGGATTGGATAAATTAGGAGATTTGCTCCCTCCAAGCTAGGGCACTCTACTAATTATAAGCACAGGTCCACTGATACAAATTACTTCCAGAAATCTATGCTGAGATACCCACTAACCATATTAAATGCATATTCATTAGAAAATATAACTCCTCTCTTGTGAAATATTGCCCTTGCGCTAACACCCTAACGTAGCCAGATTGTGTACTTGCTGGTATATGGAACAGGGACTTTACATGCAAGGTCTTCTTCCTACATCTCAAGGAAGGTCTACGGATAGAATATTATCATGGAAATCTATGCTGGGATAACCCCTCCTCATTTTAAATGCATAATCTTCGCAAAATATTATTCCTCTCGGGAGATATAGCGCATGCGCGAGCACCGTTTCAAGCGTGTAATACAGACTGAATAAAACTGCATAATATAGCTTGCTGAGGGTGAGAGGGGTGGTAGACTGATGACAGGCGACAGGGAAGGTAGCTGAGTAGGCGCTGGCAGAAGAAGCAGACTGAGCGAGGTACAGGGGAGGCAACGGGGAGGACGGGATGGGATAAAGTAGGAGTTTTTCTCTCTCCAAGCTAGGGCGCTCTACGAATTATAAGCACAGTTTCACGGATACAAATTAACTATATAAATCTATGCTGAGATACCCCTAACGATATTAAAAGCATATTCATTAGAAAATATAACATCTTTGGTGAGATATTGCCCTTGCCCTACCACCCTAACGTAGCCAGATTGTGTACTGGTGTACAAGTGTTCTGCGTATTGTACAGGTGTTCTGCGTGTACCAGTGTTATAGACAATTCGTAAGACACGTCGGGAGATGCTCAACTGTCGCATTGTGTTCCGAAATAACTAATGCCCATCGCTGGAGTCGAGCATTCTTAAGATTTGGGCTCGTTAGCAGATATTGTAGTGGTTTATGATCACTACCAATTACAAACTTTGTACCTGCCAAGTAATGACGTAACTTCTGTAGAGCATAGACGATGGCGTATGCTTTTCTTTCTATGACTGGCCAACGCATTTGTCCTTCGTTTAATTGATGACTGATGTATGATATAACGACCTCGTTTCCTTCGTCGTTTGTTTGTGTAAGAGTGGCTCCTACTTCGTATGATGAGGCGTCTGTGAATAGACGGTAGCTCTTGATAGGGTCCGGATATGCAAAGATTGGGGCTTCTATGAGTTTCTGCTTTAAGGTCTGAAACGCGTGTTCTGCGTCTTTGTTCCATTCGAATTTAGCGTATTTATGTGTTAATACTGTTAGTGGTTTTGCAATGTTTGCAAATGACTTGATGTGTGCCCGGTAATAGCTTGCCATGCCCACAAATAATCGTACTTCTTTGACTGTTGTAGGTGCTTTAAGCTGTTCGACTACCTTGATTTTCTTTGGGTCAGGGGCTGGAGTGAAACAATGTGTCCTCGATAACATTGTCTTTGAGGAATTCACACTTCGAAGCTTTAAGCTTGAGACCTGCATCACGTAATCTGTCAAAGACTTCTTTGATGTCTACTGGGTGTTGTTCAAAAATTTGGCTAAAAATGATTAAGTCGTCTATATATGGAATGGCACACTTGTGATGTAATCCATTTAATACGGTATCTAATAATCTTTGGTAAACTCTGGGTGCGTTTGATAAGCCAAATGAAAGAGCATTGCAGGGGATGTATCTCTGTAGGTGATAAAACAAGTCTTAGCTTTGTCCTCCTGTGCCATTGCTATTTGGAAGTAGCCCGACTTTAGGTCAAGAGTTAAATAGAAACGTGCGTTTCCTAACGATCCAAGAATATCTTGTATTCAAGGTAGTGAATATGTGTCCTTCCTTGTGACCTTGTTAAGTTTCCTGTAATATATTACCATACGACCCTCAGGTTCATCATTCTTGGGAACAATGAAGGCTGAACTTGCCCACGGGCTATTGCTGAGTTCTATTATCTTGGCTTCTAATAGCTGATTCACATGGTGATCAATCATTGGTCCGTAATTAATTGGTGTTCGATATGGATTTTGTCATATAGGTGGGTGTCCTTCGGTGTCTATTGTCATTTTGACCAGGTTGGTACGTCCAAGGTCAAGGTTGCTTTCAGCAAACAAGTAGCTGTTTTGCATCAGTAGATCCTCCACAGCTGCACACTGGTGAGCTGGTATGTGATCTAGATTGACCTTTGGTAGAGTTGGCGTTGATGACTTTTCTCTATGTTTATTGCTTTCCCTGTCAGGTGCACCTGTATGTTGAGATACTTTTTCTATCTTGGCTGATGCTATCTGTTTCTCATTAATTGGCTGGACTAAACTGGCCGCGTGGTCTGCGTATTTCTCCCTTAGCAGTCAACCTAATTGTGACATCCCTATCCCCTGTGTACGGGTTCGGACATAAGATGCGAATTTAGCTGCTTCTCCGCTCAAGAGTCTAAGCGATAAACGAGCTAAATCCGTCTAATTTTGCTGCCTTACAATCAGAACTAATCTCTGAAGATTTAGCCACCAATCGTCAAAGGTAATTAACCCTTTTTCTTCCCCAGAAAACGATTGAAAAGTGGTAAGAGCGCTCAAAACTTTTATCTCCTTGATTAATAACTCCATTGGCGATACAAAAGTATGCGATTCTGTCTGATGAGAGGTGGTAGACTCCATAGCAGAGGTAGGATTGGGTAATGAATCGTACGGTGGATTATTTGATATTAAAGGTTAACTATTCATCAATCACATTACGTTAAGCTGGGCACGAATCAGTAAATGTTGTGCTTACATGAAAACGGCGTCCATGCTAAGATGTATAACCACTAGCTGTTACGCCGCCGCGCTGCTGCTGCGGCAAGGTCACAGTTCGCTAAGAACAGCTTCAGCGTACTAGCTTCAGTGCTATAGTCTCTATGGTAAGTTTCAATTGGCGATGGGCCGGTGCTGCTGTTGACGGTATTGCCATCGACGTTGACGATGGCAAGGCTGCCGTTGCGGCTGTTAATGTTGATGCTGACGCCGACGCTCAGCTGTCAATACACAGTACTGGATATGGATGGTAATGTTAAAAACCTTGCGATGTGTATTGTTCTTAACCCGTTGTTTCGTTTCGTGTTTGAAGGAGATGTTAGACTTGTCTCTGTGTCTCTTGTGCGACGTAATGCGAGTAGCGAATAACTTCACAGTAGAGATAACACGTATTTGTTGCAACAGACTAGGTGACTTTATTCTACTCAGAGAATCACTAAATACAGCCTAGGTAATGTTTTACAGCACATATAAGTTCCTCTACTTCACTACGTGTGACTACGTGACTGTCTCTAACGGACTTGCTGGCTACAACTGACTGACTAAGACTGCGTGTCGCGGCACGAACTGGGTTTTTTCCATCGCGCGTATATGGTATGGTGCGGGGCGCGACACGTATATGGTATGGTGCGGGGCGCGACGCGTATATAGTATGGTGCGGGGCGCGACGCGTATATGGTATGGTGCGGGGCGCGTATATCCTGACCATCGTGCTGTGGCTATGGGCGAGGGACCCGAGCCCCGCTGTAAATAGATTTTATATCGAACTTGATATCAAACCAGAGTCACATGGCCGAAGGGCTGGCTGGTGATTAGGCCACGCCCTTACTACGCAGTTAGAAAAACAACTTGGTCACGATGTGGCTATTCTTAACCGCGCTCCGTTTTAGCACTGATGTCATTGCGCTGAGAATATCCCACAGCTTTTCGCGTAGCACTGCTACACTGGCTGGTATATGGAATAGGGACATTACCTGCAAGGTCTTTTTCCTACATCTTAATTGAGGTCTACTGATGGAATATTATTATGTAAATATATGCTCGGATAATTCCTCTTCATTTTAAATTCTTAATTTCCGCAAAATATTTTTTTTGGGAGATATAGCGCATGCGCGAGCACCGTTTAAAGCGTGTAATACAGACTGAAGAAAACTGCATAATATAGCTTGCTAAGGGTGAGGGGGTGGGAGACTGATGACAGGCGACAGGGAAGGTAGCTGAGTGGGCGCTTGCAGAAGAAGCAGACAGAGCGAGGGACATGGGCGGCAACGGGGAGGACGGGATGGGATCAAGTAGGAGTTTTGCTCCCTCCAAGCTGGGGCGCTCTACTAATTATAAGCACATGTCCACGGATACAAATTAATTTCAGAAATCTATGCTGTGATACCCCCTAACCCTATTAAATGCATATTCATTAAAAAATATAACTCCTCTGGTGAGATATTGCCCTTGCGCTAACACCATATCGTAGCCAGATTGTGTACTGGCTGGTGTATGGAACAGGAACATTACATGCAAGGTCTTCTTCCTGGATCTTATGTGCGGTCTACTGATGGAACATTATCATTTAAATCTGTGCTCGGATAATCCCTCTTCATTTTAAATGTTTAATCTTCGCAAAATATTTTACTTTCGGGAGATATAGCGCATGCGCGAGCACGAGTTGAAGTGTAAATTACGAACTGAAAAAACGGCATAATATAGCTTGCTGAGGGTGCGAGGGGTGGGAGACTGATGACAGGCGACAGGGAAGGTAGCTGAGTGGGCGCTGGCAAAAGAAGCAGACTGAGCGAGGGACATGGGAGGCAACGGGGAGGAAGACTTACCAAACCGACGAATATGCAGATGAGCTGAACGATGTCGGTGTAGGCGACGGAGTAGAGACCTCCGAAGAATGTGTAGAAGATGCCGATGCAGGCCGATACAATAATAGAGATTTGCTTATCCAGGTTCAGCACCACCGTCAGCGTAGCACCTGCGTTGTCATGGTAACAAGACCGTTAATCGTTCGGTGATGGTATCGAATGATTAGGATGTGTTTAGAAAGAGCGGACAGAGAGATAGATACATTGATTGATAGATAGATTGATAGATGGATGGATGGATAACTACGTGTGACTACGTGACTGTCTCTAACGGACTTGCTGGCTACAACTGACTGACTAAGACTGCGTGTCGCGGCACGAACTGGGTTTTTTCCATCGCGCGTATATGGTATGGTGCGGGGCGCGACACGTATATGGTATGGTGCGGGGCGCGACGCGTATATAGTATGGTGCGGGGCGCGACGCGTATATGGTATGGTGCGGGGCGCGTATATCCTGACCATCGTGATGTGGCTATGGGCGAGGGACCCGAGCCCCGCTGTAAATAGATTTTATATCGAACTTGATATCAAACCAGAGTCACATGGCCGAAGGGCTGGCTGGTTATTAGGCCACGCCCTTACTACGCAGTTAGAAAAACAACTTGGTCACGATGTGACTATTCTTAACCGCGCTCCGTTTTAGCACTGATATCATGGTGCTAAGAATATCCCACAGCTTTTCGCGTAGCACTGCTACACATGCCCCCTGCCAGAAAAGGTTGCTCGGCTCAACCACCGACAACCGGTGTCCAAAGAGTTCCACGTGGTATAAGTTATAAAGTCACTAATACATGAACTCGTACACTAACAAATGCGATACATGACTCCCTTTAACCAGCTTAACTAGCACGATATATCATCAAGGTATTATCTTAACTAACTTCCTTAACTAACCGCGCGTGTATACAATCCAAATTATTTAGGCTAAATATAACGCAATAACAATTATAAGTCATGATCATCGTATGTCCATACTCGCGTTCAACGTTAAAGTCGCGCGTACAACACTTACTCAGTGCTCAGCAACTAAACCGTATGTACAGTTAACTCGATCTCTTCGGGTTGCAAGGGTTCAAAGGCAGGGTGAAGAGAAGGGTAGGCATAATGTGTATGAGAAAATGCGAAGAATTCTCAGTGGTTTGTTCATGCCTTCGTCAAGAGTCTTTTAACTCTGTTCATTAGGCGCATTCCTCAACCTTGCCTCGCTGTGGCAGTTACTGGTGGATCATGTATAATTGCTGTTGGCACCATAAGATGTGCACTCGTTGGAGCCGTTGTTATCACATCGACTCCTGCTGTCGTCTCAGTAGACTCACTTACGACACCTTCCTGCGCAGTTAACCTTGACCTTTTCACTGCCTGTGTTGGGAACCTTATTCACCCGATTCTTTGCTCGTTTTTCGTCTTTTGGCCGACTTCTCACTGCCGGTATCCTCTTCTAAATCTCATTCCACATCAAAGCTAGTGGATTCGTTTTTCGACACCGATGGGGTGTAGATGATCGTCTCGCCATCACTTTCGCCAAGTTGCTGAGTGGTGCTAGGCTCCGGAACCTTAATGTCACCTGCAGATGGATCCATTGCAATTGGATCAACTGCACGAGACATTGGCGGCTGCGGTTGCTCCGTAGAACCCGCTGAAACCTGTGACTTGGGTGCTGGGATAAAATGACTTAGAAGGAGCTCGTATTCTTCATCGAACTCATCAGCACTACTACCCTCCTCGTCGGCTGGATATGCCAATGTCGCTGCCCTCTGGGGCTGACGACGTCTTCTCCCTGACACTTCTTCTTCCTGTGTCAGCTTCCTGCAATCCCACCTAGCTTGTGGGTGCGCTGCCCTAATATTCTCCACGTGTGAGATCACTTCTCGCTTCGTGATCTCGTGTTGGAGCAGGTACTACGTCGGCGTTAGCACCTTTATCACCACGTAACACGGGTGCCACGGTGATGATAACTTGCGTATAGTATCTGGCTTCAACACCGGGTCATGGTAGTAGACGGGGTTGCCGACTTCAAAATTAAGCTGTCTAGCACGTTTATCCTAATAATATTTGTTTCTGAGGCGTGCTAGGCGTGTCCTATCCCTGACATGTGAATAGGCTTGGCGTAAGCGTCCGGATGTCTGTGCTATGGTGTCTTCGTCGTATACCTTCCTTCTCGGGGGAAGCAGGTTATCCAGAGCCAATGTTAGCTCTCTACCGTACATGAGACAGAACGGTGTGTATTTCGTCTTCTCATGCATACTCATTCTGTATGCTGCGAGTAGTGGTTGGATCTGTAAGTCCCAATCTGTCTGTAATTTGTTGACATAGCTCGAGAGCATAGAGTTAAGCACCCGATACCTGCACCCAGACGAGGCCCGACAGGAACACGGCCTCGGCTGTTCCATTAATGTAACCTCCTCCCACCCACGTGGCTGCAACGGACACACATAACAGCCGACACATGAGTAATAATATATTATGTTGCGGGCAGTCTGGCTCTAGAACTATAGCCCTTCTTCACTTTCCACGCCTGTGGCGGAGCGAAGGGCTATAGTTCTAGAGCTGCAGGCAGGCTGGGGTGCAACCTGTCTGTCTGTCTGTCTGTGTGTCTGTCCGCTGCAACGTAGTCCGCCCCGTGTTACTGCGCTCTAGTGTATTGTCTGGTAAGTTGTGTCAATGTTTGATAAAGCGTGTTGAGCAAAGTTTCTATTTAAGTGTTTATCGGTCGGTGCGCGGTAACTCCCGACTATGCGACCCCTGCTGCTACCCAGATGATAGACCGGATACCAGAGAATCGTCGCCCAAGCGAGGTGTTGATCCTGACCGCTGAGTGCGGATCTTGCGCGCAGTTCCGCGGCAAAGCGCACGCAACCGCGGAAACGTCCTACGGAAGTATCAGGCGCTGGCAGCTATTGATCGAAAGGTCGGCGTACGGATCAATAGCTGCCAGCAAACAGTCTCGAATTTTAGCAGGTCTAATTTACTACGAAACATATGCACACGCCATCGCGCAGGTCTAATTGCGTGAGAATCACTGAAGAACTGCTCCGCCAATCACGCGAAACGGAAGAAAAATTCAACGACCGCGAAATATACGGCTTAGTTATACCAGAGCATATAAATCAACAGATTTTTATGCTCTGGTTATACAGTATTAGCCTATGAATCTGGACTAGAAGCACAATAACACCCATCTTTAAATCTGGTGACCCGAACCTTCCTGATAATTACCGAGCAATCTCCATTACAAGTTGTCTCGGAAAACTGTTCAACTGCCTACTCAATAAACGTATCACTAATTATCTACTATCAAACAACGTAATCTCAAAGTTTCAAAGTGGTTTTATCAAAGGTCGCAGAACCTCCGACAACCTCCTGATAATAAAAACACTGGTAGAGAAATAACAGAAGATAAAAACATTAGATAAGAAGATAAGAAGATAAGAAGAGGTCAACCCTATTCTCGTGATTTGTCGACCTAAAAAACGCATTTGATAAGGTATGGCATAAAGACCTCTTTCTTAAACTAAAAACATATGGCATAGAGGGCAATCTTTTAAATGTGATAACTAACATGTATTCGAAGACGGAGGCAAGCATAATATCAATTGGGCAATCGACACGCACTCGAGTGGCCACAGCTACTGGGTACAAAATATTCTTTAGGCCAAGACAGACCAAATATACAAATCCACATGGAATTAGCACTATTCTAGTCAATATCTGTTGGAAACAGTGACATGAACCTGACAAATACCTATCCAGAGATGTTTGCTGGTGGTCGATGTCATCGGGGGCATGGTGGATTTACATAAAATTTTTGGGATGAAAAGGCACGAAAACTATCGAAATCCTTGATAACGGCTAATTACTCAATCATACGCCAAGAATGCCAATCGAATTTTGTTATATCGGGCGTGTCGCTTCAAAAGCCGACCAAACTACATGTCCGCGTCATGCGACAAAGTTTTTTAAAAGCGCTCGCGGCCTGCAACAGTCCTACAAGCCACAAATACATACGGGCCGATAGTAATGGCGGCCAGCGAAGCTATATACAGACAAGGCATGCGCAGAAAGTAACATGGCGGTATGTTTCATATTTCAAACGAACGGCAAGTCAAGATAGCAATAGAAATAGTTCTCAGTCTCTGAGATATACAGGTTATATACACTACTAGATGCTGCAGAGGTGACTAGTTTTTGTTGTATGGAAAGGGTGTCAGGCTGTATAGACAATCAGTCGCACAGCCTCGTCGGGTTATACCACAATATGCTTTTTTGCAAGAATAAACACATTCTTGGCGTTTGTTGTTAGTGAGCAAAGTGCAGTACTGCGCATGGGGAGCAAATGAATCCTTTCCTGCTTACACCGCAAAACGAAGTATGCACCAGACCTGGTGACGTCGACATTCCGACCCTAAAATATAACATTTCTGTGTCAGTTATTGACTTATCTCATTTCAACTAGCGTCAATATAAGACAGGCACCGACCAGTGCCGACGGGAACCCAATAACACCCCGGGACCTTAATGTTCTTTCCAATATATTTTGTTGCGGTTGATTGCATATAATTACTTGGGCTTTCTTTAGCTGTTACAATAATATTGGGGCTCTCATTACACCTGAGGGGGGTCTTTTCACTCTCAACTCTCCAGTTTGGATCCCAGATTTTGCACTAATTGGATCTGCCATTGCATNACACGCAACCACCCCCCCCACCCCCACCACACACACACACGCACACACACATACACACACAAACACACACGCACGCACACACACGCACATACACACGCGCACACACACACACCCAGGACATTACCGAGAGCCTTTAGGATGGCCGCCGAATAGAACACTTCTCCCATGAGCGCGGGAATAAAGAGCAGTCCAGCCATGATCCTGCCGTACTTGATACGTAACGGATCCAGCATTGTGACGTAGCCAGCCTCCCTCATCGGCTTAGCGAATAACAGTCCGCCTGCGACACACACGTAAACATGTAAACACCGGGTAAACAAACACAGTGTAAACACGTGCCGGAGGCACACGTAAACATGTA